TCTTGGTGATTTCAACTTGCACATTGACTGGTCTACCATGAAGGCTTTGAATACTGCCTCCGCTCCTTCTCTAGATTTCGTTACCAGTTGTGGACTAAAGCAGCACATCAGCTCCCCGACCCACGCCGGAAACATCCTCGATTTAGTATTGTCGGCTCATCCTATCGTTACCAATATTATCTTGCTTCCTCCTTTTGGTTCATCTGATCATTGTATTATCTCCTTTGAGATTCATGAAAACTTCCCCTCTTTCTGTATCCCCTTACCTGATTTCAATGATGTAGATTACGCTCTTCTTAATAACTACTTCTTTAATGTTAATTGGCTTTCGTTGTTTGATAATTACTCCTCATGTTCTGATGTATACTATAGATTTTGTAGAACACTCTACGAAGCATTCTCCAAATTTGTGCCCATGAAATTTCCGACTACAAAAGTGAATTATCTCCCCGCTCATATTCGCGCCTTAATTTCTCAGAAGCAGCGCCTCTTTGACATATTGCCTAATCCTCTTTCTGATTCCCTCTATAGAAAAGTTTGTGCTGATATAGACCATCATGTAAAAAAATATTTCGCTTATCGTGAAAGAAAGCTTGCTGCTAAAAGTTCACCGAAATATCTCTTTTGGTACTTGAAAAGCAAAATGAAATCAAATCCACATCTTCCAACTCTCAGAGATTCTTTCGGCAAGTCTTACGTTGACGATGGTGATAAAGCTCATGCTCTTGGAGAATACTTCGCTAGTGTGTTCTCTGATGAAGGTGAAAATGTGGACTCTAATGCTTTTGACAATATTAGTACTGTTATGCTTCGCAAACGCTGTGATGATGTCTACTTTGATCCGTCTATTGTATATCGTTATCTAAAAAAACTCAAGCCCTCTATCACCAAAACATTCGATGGAATACCTCAGATCGTCTATCTCAAATGCGCTTCATCGCTGGCTGCTCCACTCGCTCACATTTTCAACATCTCGATGCTGGTGGGTGAAGTGCCTAGTTTATGGAAGGAGGCCATTGTCACAGCCATACCAAAAAGTAATAGCGCCACACTTATCAACGAATTTCGCCCAATTAGTCTACTGCCTACTCCCATCAAAATCATGAAAAAGGTTATACGTGATAAGTTATCGAATTGGCTGTCTCAATTAGGATTCATTCCTGATGAACAGCATGGCTTTCTTAGCAGAGCTTCCACCACCACTAATCTTGTTGACAGTGTCTTCGACTGGAGTGTGGCAATTAATAAGGGGGAGTCTGTTGATGTTTTCTATGTCGATCTTTCCAAAGCTTTTGATAAAGTCTGTCACAGCAAATTACTCGCCAAAATGCGTACCCTCGGAGTTGACGGAAATCTCTTTTCTTGGTTGATGTCTTACCTACAAGATCGCCATATGACCGTCAAAGTAGGTCATCAGTTTTCTGAAAAACACCGCTGCACCAGTGGTGTACCGCAAGGAGGTGTTTTATCTCCTTTGCTTTTTCTTTTCTACACCCTTGATTTGCCGAATACTTTGAAAACTTCCCCACAAATCAGTGTTCAAATGTACGCTGATGATATCAAAATTTACGGAAGGTACAATACTGATTATGCACTGGAAGTACAGACCAATCTGCAGAAATCCCTAGATAATCTGAGCACCTGGGCTGAAACTTGGAATCTAACATTTAATTTGAATAAATGCTCTGTTCTCCATTTTGGAAAAGAAAATATACCTACTTATCACTTTAATGGTAGCATGCTAAAAAATTGTGAAATCGCGAAAGATTTAGGAGTTCTGATTGACTCCAAGCTCACCTTCACTGAACATATTGACATGGTGGTCAGAAAGGCATACGCGTCATTGTTTTTGCTTTTTCGTAGTACTAACACTAATTCTTCTGAAATCCTGCTATTACTCTATAAAGCCTTTGTGCTTCCACATTTGGAATATTGCTCCCAGATATGGTCTCCATTCCGTAAAAAACACATCAAGAAACTTGAAAAGTGCAACAACTTTACACAAGACTTCTTTTCAAACGTACCTCGCCTGAGATAAATCCACCACCCAGTTACTAAGATCGCCTTCAGAAATTTCATTTGCAAAAACTCAGTTTCCGGCGTGTTTTATTTCACCTTACTTTTTGCTTTCAAGTTTTAAGAAAAAAGAACAAGCTAAAAGCGAGTAAGTACTGGACATTTATCCCTACAAGTGACAGATCGGGGGCTTTCAATTTACATTATCCCAAGATTCGACGTAGAAATCATCAACAGATGTTCAATAATTTGTTTTACAGGACAGCAAGATGGTTTCGACGGCTTCCCAAAAGTACTATAGCTGCAATAAATAGTGACATCTGTGAAGAAAAATGTAAAAAACTTGACTTACTCAGTATTACAGATATGAACTAGAACTCTCAAAATACTTGATGCATGACAAATCAAAAAAAAAAGAGAGACTTTCCCAACAAATTACAGAGAAAGTCACTAATTTTCATTTTCCTTTAATTCTCTACTTCTCTTGCTTTCAGAAACTTACAGAATGCGCTTACTTCGGTCACTGACAGAAACATGGATGGTTGTAGCTATGCACTGCTCTTTCGAACAAACCTCAATAACGACATTCATTTTCGCCTTTAGTATCAGTCTAGCTCTTCCACTTGCTACTACAATCTATATCCAAATGTAATCATTGGCTAATAGATCGTTTACATCTTACGAAGTTATCCTTTCTATAACTGATGAAGATCGTTGCTTGTAAAATGATTTTTTTCGAATTCTGAACTTTCGTTTCATACCATGTCTCCTTCCTCCTGCCCAAGACGTTCAATTGCTCAATTTATAAGCTCCATCAAACTATAAACGAATCTCAATACTTCATTCAATGTAATCTGCTATAAAAACGCATTGTTGACAGCTCTTGTCTTTATATTGATCTGCATTTCAATTTCTCAACAAAGAGGAATGAAGGAAAGAAACAATGTATGTATGTATGTATGTATGTATGTATGTATGTATCAGTGGCGTACCCAGGATTTCGGCTCGGGGGGGGGGGGGCGCGGCAAAAAAATTTTTCAAATGAAGGTGCTTGGCGTTAGCCACGCACTCCGAAAAAATTTTAGGGGGGCTTCTCAACAATTTTTCGAGCCCCCAACCCCTAAAATCTGGAAAAAGGGGGCGTGGCGCCAGCCACGCCCCCGAAAAAAAATTTTTTATAAGGCTAATTTGAATTTTTAAAAAGTTTTAAAAATTATTTTAATTGTTTACAAAAATAAACAAGTCATTTGCACATTTTTATAACTCACGTAAGTAACTTCCAAAAATTTCGCGACCCGTTCTCGGGGGGGGGGGCGCGCTCCCCCCCCCCCCCCGCCCCCCCCCCTCGGTACGCCACTGGTATGTATGTATGTATGTATGTATGTATGTATGTATGTATGTATGTATGTATGTATGTATGTATGTATGTATGTATTATGTATGTATGTAAAGTGTATGGTGGACCGATGGACTGCTGGATGGAGGGATCGATAAATGGGCCATTGGATAGGCTGCTACCACTCGGAAATGGTTGATCACTTCGAGTACTTCATCTACTCTGTTGTTGAGAGCAAAAATGCCACTCATGCAGATCAATGTACATGTGATTAGAGCTCTCTACAATGTGTAAGATGCATACATATGTGCACTACCGTTAGAGTGTACACAAAAGCTTAATGGTATGAAACTAAAGCTTAGAGTTCCTTCGATGCTATACACATTTTTTATACCTCACTCTTCCTCATTCTCATTTTCCAATTATTAGTTTCTTTTTAGTATGGCACATTACTATTGTGTAATGTAATTAAATAAATAAATAAATAAATAAATAACACCAAAACAATAAGAGTATCGATATCCCGGGAAAACAATCAACAATAAAGCACAAGAATAAAGAGATCTGAGCCCATAGACGAGGTGGCTCGTTGGTCGTCGTTCCTCACTGTCTCCAGACCGCTCCTCCCTCCTTATCTAGTGGCATCTGGCGAGCGACGGCGCAGAGCAATCTGTAAACAAAGTATATGGGAAACGTAGATGATTGCAACATTACATGAGTAATGAATAAGGGAACTTATTAGAAGAAAGCAAAAGAATAACGTATGAGTATATATAGATATACTTACCTGATAGATATAACCGTAAATACCATTTACAATGACAAAGACGAACCTAGACCTACCCTATTGTCCGGTAATTAAAGTATTTATCATCGGTTGCCCACAGTTGACCACACGGACTGCCCGTAGATGGGTGGGGAAACTTATCTACTTAAAGCACTTGCCGTAGCGCAGCTACTCTGACATTCGGTGCGTGCGGCGCGCGCTTGCTAATGGCCAGCAGTGCGGCCCGCGCGCCTAGATTTACAGACGGGGTCACGTACCGTGCGGCCCGCGCGCCTTGAGTCCTTAGCGTAATTCAAAGCACGCTGCTTCCGAATATGCTAATGGCTTTGCTTAATACTTGTAAGTTCAATCTCTTTTGAAAAATGTTTTTTTTACACAGTGTAAATTTAAGAAACCGGCTGATGAAAACTTTTGAATATTATTATTTTAAAAATTACAGCGAAGTCGTAAGCAACTTTGTTTTCAAAAAAGGAATAAATTTGGAGGAATAGCAAAATCACTAGCATCGGGAACAGCGTGCTTGAAAACTCCTAAATTCAAGTTTCTTTCAATCGAAAATACATCGCTTCTGAACGTTTAATTTGAACTTTCATTGAATTTCAGTTTCATCTGTTCCAAGATGAGGACGAGGGTGCTCCGTGCACAGACTGGATCTCATGCAGCGATGAGTAGGTGCTGATTAGCGTTGTTGACAACTCATGACCTCTATAACTACACTGCGGCAAGTGCTTTGGGTAGATAAGTTCCGTCTCCCCACCCCCCTCCGTTTTTTGTGTTTACCGTGGAGACATTCTCGCTGCGCGCACTCTGCAATGTACGCCCAGTCCGCACGGTCGACGATCTGTCAATACTTTTGCCACAATGGATCTGTCGTATGTAGGTATGAACTGGGTTTCCGACAAGGATCGGGCAGAGTTAACGCGATTCAGTCGTAGCGATTGAATGCTAGTTAAAGGCAGCGTCTGGGCAAAATTTCGCCTCTCATGTTTCTGCCATTCTGGGGCCTTCCCGTGGCCCTGAATACAGTTGTAAAGTCCAAATTGTTCAACACCCCCAAAAAACACGATTCTTGGGGACCCTCTCTTCAAGAAGCGGACGAGTTTCGGATTGCTCGTCCCCATCGCATGCCAGCGGGAGGAGCTGCAACTGCACGGTGCCGTTGCATTGCAGTATGCAGTGCAACTGCAATGCAACTGCAATGCAACCGCACACCTGCGTGAGCACTCGTCCTCAGCGGTAGTTTGTGATACGAAGGGACAGTTTGTGATACGTATCACAGGCCCGTATCTCCTTTCAGAGGCCACTTCAAAGATTCGGACCAACGCAGATCGGATACTCATGGGCCCCTCTTTACAACGATATGCTAACCTGGGTGGATGAATTTTGCCCGGACGCTGCCTTTAACTATCACCACCGAAGTATAAGAAGATCGGCATGCAATGAAATCGTAGCACCTGTCTTGTAGCGATCAATCGCGACAATTGAATCGCGTGAACTCTGTTCGAGGCCTAAGGCCCCGGGCAGACTTCACGCGATTTGGTCGTCGCGACTGAATCGCGACAAGACAACTGTTACAACATCATTCCATGCCGATCAACTTGCATTTCGGTTGTGACACTTTTCCAGCCCGGAAATTTTGAATGTAAAATGAAAATGAATGGAAATCTCGGCGATTTAGTCGCGACGACCAAATCTCGTGAAGTCTGTCCGCGGCCTAAGGGTAAAGGGTACTCGTGAGATTTTCAACCACTGTTCATACAAGGAAAAGATATTTGGTCGAAGTGGCGTTCCCCTATAAGATGCATATTATCTTATAGAGCATTGAACACTGATTCCAGATCTGCTTTCGGTATCTGCAAAGCGGGAGTTATGCGAATTTTTTGAGGTAGAAATTCAATGATTTGGCATAGGTGTTGAGGTCTTTTCGGCGCTTGAAAGGAGCAATGACTTTATTAGATTGAAGGCCTTGTTTCATAAAACGCCTTAGTAGCAATCATTGCCCCATTGAACTCACGGACCCGAATGATTTTATCGTAGCGGCACTTCCAAATTTTTGCATCAAAAAATTTCCATAACTTCCCTCCCAGAAGCGCTTTGCAGATAACGAAAGTAGGTTTGAACTCAGCGTTCCATGCTCTATAAAACAGTTGAAACTTCTGCAGCGTACGCAACACGAGGGACCGTAGATTCGCCCGCAGGAACGATTACTTTTGGATTGGAGCAGGAATCCTCCGTAAAGCACCTTATCCTTCCAACGCTGATTTTGAAGATGCGCTTGCCAAATAACTCAATGTTGCGTCTTGCAACTCTATTACTGCAACTCTATCTCCGTATCAAGCTTGCCGAGCCACTTTCTTTGAAAGCGGCGTCCAGGCAAATCTGGAGAAATGGATATCGCCAGCGGAAACTGATTTTGGGAAACCGCGCAGAGTTACAGCATAAGATGAGCTACTCAAGCTCTAAGTTTCCATTACTATCAGCATCATTACAAAATTCTTCGTTAATGCGGTTTGAATTCGTACATAAAAGTTTGATTTGCCTTTTCCTCTTCTCTTTAGTAAATATCACTTTTTCGATCTGGACAACCGTCTCCTTTCAGCTTCAGTGAATGCCTTGACTATTGGGGAGTCTGCCTATAAGCGAAATCTTGCAAAAAAGGTGGCACTAGGAAACTAATTTGTACCAGCTTCTTAACATCGTAGTTTTGTCTCTGATTGTGAATGTTGCGCACCGATCAGCTGTTGATCGTCGTCTTCTTGCTGTGACTTCTCGAGAGCGGCCAAGATTTGTTCTTTTGTGCTTTTGTCAAAGTCAAATCGCTGTGTGAGAAAATTTCAGGTACGAAGGTAAGGAGATAAATAAATATTAACCATGTTGACACCTTATTGTCGAGGTTGTTATTCTTTTTAATGATATGCACATGCCTAGTTTACAGTGTATGAGCATAAATGGCCTTCGCTCTTGAGAAGTGGTTATTTTTTCAACTCTGTCAAATTTGTACAGCCCTCTTTAAAGGCAGTGTCCGGGCAAAGACTCGATTTTGAGATTTTGTGCTTACCCGGGCCTATTCGCTACGCTGGATCCGAAAATCCACACTGGAAAGCGCGAAAACGGCGAAAAACGGCTCTAACGCGGGAGAGAAATCAAAAGTGGGCGGGGTCTTCCCCAGGGTGAATTCATGGTCTCAGCTCCCGGAGCGATCTTTTCGCTTACGACTTCAGATCATGCATTCGCACATGGACCGTTGAGATGTCACGGCGGTTAGTGGAATTGAAAAGATCGCTCCGAAAGTTGGGACCGTGAATTCACCCTGGGGAAGACCCCGCCCACTTTTGATTTCACTCCTGCGTTAGAGCCCTTTTCGCCGTTTTCGCGCTTTTCAATGTGGATATTCGGATTCAGAATAGGGAATAGGCTCGGGTAAGCACAAAATCTCAAAATCGACTTTTTGCCCGGACACTGCCTTTAAAAAGACTTGAAGGCAAGAGAATTATTAACGATCATACAGATGCACATTATTTTGGGATAAGCTGTAGATTTTTGTCACCATACATCATGCTGCTTGGACCTGAAAGGCTAATTCAAGTATCAGATGCATAGAGCTTTCCTCAGAAATGCAAGCAAGGAAAAAGACCACTGAACTTCATTTTTCAAACTCGCTAAGAATATAAGTTTGCAAAAGAATCTGAAATGCTGATGCTTAGGTTTTACGACTTAGTTTGTCGAAAATGTAGGCACCATTAATCGAGACCGTTTGCAATAAGAATTGCAAATGTCACCTTCAACAGACTTGAACTATGACTCCAATTTTCATGTCAGCCCTTGCAGTCTCAGACAATGGATCGGACCCCTCCGCTGGGCAAGCCGAAACTGCCAGACTCGCGCCGGACCCAATTGACCAATGAGAGCGGGGCAAATGGGCGGTCCCTCGCGTGACATCACTGCCAGGCAAATGGGAGGCTTCTCCGGCCCTGCTGCAAAGGTCCGCCATTTCTCCGGCGCGACCCTGGCAGATTTGCCAGGCTCGCGCCGGACAAATTTGTCCGGCGCGAGCCTGGCAAATCTGGCGGAGTCGCGCCGGAGAAAATCGGAGGGGTCCGGAGCAGAAATGGGAGGTATCCGGAGCAGAAAATGGGAGGTATCCGGAGCAGAAAATGGGAGGTATCCGGAGCAGAAAATGGGGGGTATCCGGAGCAGAAGATGGGAGGTATCCGCCGGAGAAATGGGAGGTATTCGGAGCAGGCTGCGCATCGATTTGGCGCGTAGCAAGCAAACGTCTAACTCCACGGTGATGAGTCCTCTGTTTACGCTCTTTGTCCATATTTTAGTCGCCGTTTATTTGATTCTGTTGTTTTTGCGCGTTTCTTTACCGTTTTTTCCTTTTCCGCGTTGCTCTTCGTCGCGTTGGCGTTTATGTTGTTGTAAGTTCCTCGTTTTCAGGTTTATGTTTGAAATTATCGTGCGGTTGCACTCAATCACCTTCAGTGTTTGGCTCTTTCCGACTTGCTGAGACATCGTAGACTATTGATGGAGTGGTTTTTGTGATTAATTCTGGATTTTCGAAACAATGAGGTTAGTTGCGCAACTATCTAGTGTTGTTGTGATGAAAGTATCGTCTAAATAATCCGTTTATTGCTATAGTGTGGACCCCGGCCAGGTTCCCATAGGTACCTCCGCGGCGCGCCCGCAGCGCATGCCTTCAGTGCGCTTTTCGTTTCGGCTCTGAAGGGATTTCTTTCAATTTCCTCTTTCAAGTGTGTTTGTTCTCTTCTGTAATCTCTACTTTAGATGTAAACGACACACGTCAACTGCTGGTGATGGATTTTTACGAGTCTTGACAGTCTTGCAAGCATTTGTTTCGAAAATCTTGTTCTTTTCTCAATAGTGAAGATTTCGGTGTAGTTCAGAGACATCTCTCCAAATGTTCAGAATAAGTGTATATGCAGTTGATTTTGTGGAGTGTAGATGCTTCTAGCCTTTTGTTACACCATGAGAGCTTTGCAATCGTGCTCTTGAGCTCAAACTTTCTGGGTTTTTTTATGAACAGAAGGAAGACTTTTCAGAATTGTTCTTCGACTTTTCCTGTTACTTCTATCATCCATCGCTGGTAGTGTCATACACTACTAGCGATGGATAATAGAAGATTCCAGTTATTTATGAGATTGACTGGAATCTGAGCGCTAGTAGTAGAAGTTGTGAAGGTTCTCCAATTGCCTTGGCTTTTCTCGTGTTCGGATTAGAGGCCTCCACATCTCATTTCACTCCTGTTTTCGGTTATAATGCTTTTTTGTTCGTAAGTGAAATGAGAAGCGTTCAAGTCGGGCGCGCGTTGCGTGTGCGCCGCGCTAGTACCTGAAGCTGGCCGGGGTCCACACTATCTCTCTCGTACGTATGCTTACCAAGTCGATCGACTTTTCATCAGACGTTGCAGATCCTCACTATATCGTTTCTGGCTTGAAAGATAGGACAAGGCAAGAGATATGTTGACAAAAGTCTTGGAGGCAACTCCAAACGATGTTGAAGTTTTGTGACTGTTACTGAAGCATTGTGACTGTTACTGTTGCTTAGTCACATCACATTGCTTCCAGTATTGCTTAGCGAGATTAGGGACTGATAAGGCTAGGTAAGCATGTAAATGTGAAATGTTTGAGTCACATAGCTTCTTCTTTACTGTTTATGTGACTTTCAATTACAATTTGCAGAATCGCTTTTGAACAAGCGTTGGAATTGCAAAATGACAATGTTTGTGCTCTCTCAGCACTTGCCATTTTGGATTACAATACGCATACTGTCGAGGGATCCCAAAGTGCAGTGGCTTGTCTAGGCCAAGCGTATAGTCTGGAGCCGGAGAATCCGGTTGTCTTGGTCCATCTTGCCAACCACTTCTTCTTCAAAGGAGTCAGTGCAGAAATTCTTTGAATTAATTACGAATTATCTATAAAAGGGACCTTTTAAATTTGTCCAAGCTGTTACATCGAGGTGTTTATCGCTTTATCTGAAGGCATCACTTTTTCAGGAAATGAACAAGGTTGAACGGTTAGCGTGGCATGCAATGAGTATGACGGAAAGTGACGAAATCAAGGCCGAAGCTTGTTACATTCTTGCGCGGTTTTTCCATTTCAACAGAGACTATGAAAAGGCGTTCAAGGTAAGTTGCATATGCAAGAATTTCAATCCATGTCATCATCGTGTCCTAGTACTATTATCAAGCAACTACGTTGAATCATCCTACTTTCGTTTTGCCCCAGTATGGCCTTGGACCTCGGAATTCGAAGATGTTTGGATGAATATAGCTCATGTATATATCGCACTTGGACAATATGTCCCTGCTTTGCAAATGTGAGTTTATGGCGTTCCTCGCTGTTTTGTTTCATGTTGCACAGAATGCTTTTTTGATCTTTTTGTCATTTTCTTACCATGTTAAAACCATATGCTTATACTGTGGTGTTACAAGGTTCTTTTTGCAACTAGGAAATTAGTTTTTCTTTGAATATTCTTATCACTCCTAGTATGGTTTTTGTAATATGAATTAACTGTTGTACGTATGCTGGAGATAGATAGATAGATTTTTCGAAAGTTTGATAAATTTGAAATAAATGTCTTATCTCTTCGTTCTTTCTTCTATCTTTATCCACAAACGCTAGGGGTGAGAGGGAGGGGGTAGAGTACGGGGTGAGGGTCGCGCTAAACTCCTACCCGGGGGGGGGGTCCTATTCGGCTTATTTGGGTGGGGTTTAGAGACAAAATTGGGGTTTGGAGCTTAAAGGCAGCGTCCAGGCAAGTCTGGACCTATGGGGATTTTACATGGAAAGTATTTTGGGGCCCTAACTAAGCCACTACCCAACCGGCAGCTCAAGTAGTGCTCTAACGCCTGAGATATTCTGCTCGAAACCGGACCCCGCGACCGTGTTTCGCATGGATTCATGGCGCAAAGAGTGGATCCTGGCGCGAAACTGCCATGAATCCATGCGAGTACGTTCGCGGGGGTCTGTTTCGAGGGGAATATCTCAGCCATTGGAGCACTACCTGAGCTGCTGCTTCGGCAGTGCCTTAGTTAGGGCCCCAAAAGTACTTTCCATGTAAAAGCCCCATAGGTCCAGATCTGCCTGGAAGCTGCCTTTAATTAGGGCTAATTACAGTATGCCGCGATCGGGGGGCTCCGGCGCACAAAATCGGGGGGCTCCGGAGCAGAAAATGGGAGGTATCCGGAGCAGAAAATGGGGGGTATCCGGAGCAGAAATGGGAGGTCTCCGCCGGAGAAATGGGAGGGCTCCGCCGGACGAATGGGTGACCCACCGCTGGGGAAACGCCGCGACCCTGCCATTTCCCCAGCGGAGGGGTCCGATCCATTGTCTGAGGTGTTTCAGATTTACGAGAACATGATAAAATAACAAAAGGAGAATGATTCTACAATAGGCCTGAATAAAGTAAATCTGAAACACTACAAAGCAAATCATGGCAGAGCTTAACTGTGAAATGTTCTCCTTTTCGGAGCAATAAAGGCTGCGATGTATTTTTTATTCCGTATGCTTTAGTGTTTATGCATTGGATTGCGATGCCCTCATGAAATCAGTCTTTGTTCCACGTTTATCTGGAAGATAGTTTGATAATGCACACAACTTGTACAAATTTGTTGCCAATTCAAATATTCTCGGATAGATTCCTGTTGCCAAGCATGGCACTAGAAGAAGTCCGCTCAAATGGCAGACGCGGAAAGAGCGTCTGCAAAAGTGTTAGCCGTAATTGAGTACATCCGAGCGCAAAACTGATTCACTGATATAAGTCAGTGCATATCACGACCAGAGAAAGTGGCTCGACAAACTTGATACGGAGATAGAGTTGCAGTAATAGAGTTGCAAGACGCAACATTGAGTTATTTGGCAGCATCTTCAAAATCAGCGTTGGAAGGATAAGGTGCTCTACGGAGGATTCCTGCTCCAATCCAAAAGTAATCGTTCCTGCGAGCGAATCTACGGTCCCTCACGCAACACTATATGCACTATTGCGGACATGTGCGGAATGGCGCATTGATTTTTTATCCTCGAGGCGCTCATGTTTATCCGCTCCATGTTAGATAGGAAGAATTTATGAAGGTTCCTTAATTGCAAAAACAATCGCTCCTGGTTTTTGAAGTTCTGAAGGTCCCAGTTCTTCTGAGTCGATTTGTACGGATATTCATTTCACCTTGCTCTTCTAGTAATTGTGAAATCTTTTTTCATCTTATTTTGGTTACTGAATTAACAGATACCTAATGAATGGTCGATTGCAGGATTAAATGTTCTGTAAACATAAGGTCTCCTGTTCTCTCCATTGCGGTGTGAGAAAGCGAAAAGGATTTTCGCAAGAAAATAATTATAGTAAAGGCAGGCAAAATTGTTTTCCAAAGTTGCATGTCACAAACAATAACTCGAAGTTGCCAGAAGCTTTTCATTTGATGCATTTAGCATGTTTCTTTCAGATGCTTGCACGCTCAGCGCTTTTGGCTCGTGGAGATGCGTTCACACTCCCCGCACGAACAGCAATGCTTGCTGCGCAGGATAGAACACCGAAAATAAAAACATTCGAGATCTATAGATTCAATCCTGACAAACCTGGGTCTAAACCAGAAATGCAGGCAGGTGTTATTTAGAACTTCAATCTATGTGCTACCCACTAGGATAGAATTTTTTCAAGGCCACGTTTGCATAGGCTCATGCACAAAATAGCTTTCTTACTAATATTTTATGAGTAAAATAACCAATTTCTATAGTCAGACTTCATTTCAGAGATATGATGTCGATCTTAATGAATGCGGTTCTATGGTGCTGGATGCGCTTAATAAAATCAAGAATGAAATGGATGCAACATTGACATTCAGGAGAAGTTGTCGCGAAGGTAGCTTCTGTTAAATTTGCTAAAGTTTTTGTTGCAGTGCTCTATCTGTCATACTGTGCTGATGAGCATAAATTTATATCTCAGCTTCCTTTGGAGTTCTATAAAAAAATTGACATGCTAAATGAGTAGTCCCCGTTGCATGCTCTAATTCCAAACCAATAAATATAGGGCTCTCTACACTCACAAATCTTTACTTTACTCCTTTTGTTCTTACATCGACAAGTTTAGGAATTTGCGGATCATGTGCAATGAACATCGGTGGAGAAAACACGCTTGCTTGCATTTGCAAAATTGATAGAAACACCAGTAAGGTTACAAAGATCTATCCTCTACCTCACATGTATGTAATTAAGGTATGAGTGCCATTTTCTTTAGTTCATCTTCGGAGCCCCTTTCATTTTCTAGGATCTTGTGCCCGACTTGACCTTGTTCTTCGAGCAGTATGCTTCGATTCAGCCATGGCTGCACAAGAAGACTGAGCTGGATCTGGGCGAACGCGAAATGTACCAAACCATAAAAGAACGGTCAAAGCTCGTATGTCATGCGTATAAATGTCATGCATAAGCACACCGGTATATTTTCTAAAGGATGGATTGTATGAATGTATTCTATGCGCATGCTGTTCTTCGTCGTGTCCATCATACTGGTGGAATGCGGACAAGTATCTTGGTCCAGCTGTGCTGCTGCAGGCATACAGGTACGGATTTATACAGCTGTGGCGTTGGCCCTTGTAGTATTTATGAGTTAGTTACCTTTCTTGATTCGATTTCCTTATTCGCAAACTCTAAATTTTGACTTCCCTCGCCAAAACGCAGTCGAGTAATTTGTCGGTACATGTGGTCCTTACGGCGCCGAGATTTTGCGGTAAAATTTGCGTGTGAACTATAGCTACGCCTAAAATGCCAGCTTGCACAAGCAAGTGTCGATATTTTAGGCGTAACTATCTATTCACGTGCAAATTTTAGCGCAAAATTTCGTTGCCGCAAGGGCACTAAATTCATCCTCGAATCTGCTCGACCGTAAAGCGAGTAGCCGCAGGATTATATATTTGTTGTATAAGGATTTATCGCAGTGAATTATGAGCCGCGAAGTTTTTGATATGATCTTTGCCTGAACTATAGTTTGTTCTGTTTGTGCATGGTTTGAGTTTTTCGCATAATTTTGTTAATAGAAACATTACCATTTTACCTCCTACTCAGGTGGATTATTGATTCCCGCGACGATTACGCCAAAGAACGTCTTGACCGCATGCACGATGCTTACTCCGTCTACAAGTGCCATACCATCATGAACTGTACGAAGACTTGCCCTAAGGTATGTTTTTTGTGCTTGTACCTTCACCTTTTCAACAACTGGACATATTTCTTTCTGCAGCATTTGAATCCTGCGAAAGCCATTGGTGAAATCAAAGCCCTCCTTACGGAATTCCGTTCGAAGCCAGATCCTGAGCAACCTCGAACGAATCAATGAATCATCGAATGTTACAACTTAGCGCTAGATAAAACCACGAATAGATACCGTCTTTGTTACACCTACCTCGGTGAAGTTTTACGTTGCATCATTCTAGTTTCTATAGATTCTACTGAATTGTATGGAGGTATTTGTATGTTGAGAGCAGTATTCTTGTGTTCATATTTTATCAATTAGTTCTACCTCTTCCTAAGTCATTTTTTACACTGTAATTAGTATAAATAATAAATGTGAAGTAGCATCCACGGTATAGATGTAGAGCGAGTTCAGCTTTTTCTGTAAACGTCTTTCGTTGGACACGAGACGAATCGTTTGAGCTAACACTTCTTTGTTGTCAATAAGAAAGTCTTAATCGTGTTTCTGCACCCAAGTTCGCGGTATTTTTGAAGGCTTAGACAAAAATGAGCCGCTTCCCGTGTTCCTTCCTACAGCAGCTTTATAGAAAACATGAAAATGCATATGATAACATATTTACTTCTCAAAAGAAATCTTTGGTGGCAATATGCATTCGAGGAATTGAAAGAAAATAACCGGAATTAGCTTATGGAATGGAAGTGCTTCATAAATTGCATGCATCGTAAATATGATATACTACGAAAATCTTACAAAAGTATATATAGCCCATGAGATTATCTTCTATTTACTTGGAGACGAAGGCCTTGAGAGGCGTGGAATACCCGTACCTCCAATACGCGGCAATGCCGTGGGAGGTCTGATACCTATAATATTCTAAAGTTCTAAATCTAATAAAAAAAGTAAATCAATAAGATACCGCTTCTCGGTCGGGGCAAGGCATTGCTGGTTGGTTTCTGATCGCCATGTATACCATTGGTAACAGGTTTCGATGCACTGCTCTGAATGAGAGGCTTAAAATTTTTCAAAATTTATATACAGGTTTCTGCTATTTATGTTGCACCACAGAAGTCAAAGTCGATTAGTTTGCATCAGAGGTTACCTGGTTACTACGTACAACATTTGGCGCCAAAGGCGTTCTCGGTCGTTGTTGGGGTGCTAAAAAATCGCTGATAATTGTAAATTTTGCTTTCGGCCTGTTAAGTTCCTACCAGATGGTGCAGCGGCCGTCTTGACAGGAGCGTTGCTCTTATGAGACACAGACGGCTGTACCGGACGAACAGTGAGAGGAGTGCGTCCTTGACCTAAGAAAAAGAATTTTGCTGCCTTGTACTAGCAAAGTACACAGTTGTACCCGCTGTTCTGACAGCCGGCTGCTGCGATGGGCCTTTCACCACATTTGGCTTTGGTGCAGTCGATACTCGGTTCGTTATGCTTGACGCTACTCTTGGTGGACGAGGAACGGTAGCTGAAGCAGGCTGAGATCTTCCTACTCCTGGTTGAGTTTTTCGCGCTGGAGCAGCCTCGGATGGTTTTCCAGGCACTGACGTCACGGCAGCTGGCTATAAGAGGTATGTTCGAATTTGTATTTGAAAAAGAGTCAATCACAAAAAATTTTTGGTAGTTAAACTATCTACGCGACAAAGCAAAACATTCTATTACCTTAGACTTCTTTGGCTCGGATCCGTGTAGTCGTAAGATTTCCGCTGAGGGTCCATCGCCAAATTCCTTTCGAATACTTTCTGAGTATTCCAAGATCTGCAAGAAAAATTTCAGGAGCGAGAGTTTCAGAGACTACACATTAATCTACAAGAGGAGGTTCCAATTATGAGGATGTCAATTTGTGACCGATTCTTACCTTGCCCATCTTAATCTTGTCTTCTGAAAGTTCGCCGAATAAACGTCGAGCTGCTGGCTCGCCTACGCATCGCAGTATAGCTCCCATTGCACGGAATGCAGATTCACGAACATCGGCATCCGCATCCGAACAGCACTATATCACGTTTCATAGCAGTAGGAATGCCGAAAGATATTTTTGGATTACCTTGAGTAGATCTGGGATCAACTGCTTAACCGCATCTACAGGAAATGTCGAAGAACTGTGTCGTGAGAGCAATCTGGATGTAAACTGGACAGTTTGGGCTCTAGACTGAGGGTTTGGCTTGGTAAGACCGCCGCAGACGGCTTCAGTGTAACATTCCAGTGGAGTCTAAATGTGACTGATATGTAAGGGAACGGCTATAGGTTGCCGGCAAGGTTGCCGAGGTGGCCGGGGTTGCGGCGTTGCCTGGATCAGAGTTAGCTTAGAGAGCGCGCGAAACATGGGAGAAGTCATGAGGTCGTACAACGACCGTCAACGCCGGCAACCTCGGCAACCGTTGCGGGCAACCTATGGCCGTTCCCTAAGGCGGTGGGACAAAAATGAAATCAAAGACAAATCTCTAACTCACTGTATATGAGGCAGCATCAACTAATGAAATCAGCTCATCTCTAAGTATAGGCTTCTTCTCCTTCAGTTTATCAAAGGCTATAGGCATCACCTGAAACTGTTCTATGTAATTACTTCTGGTAAAACACGCTGATGTTTCCCTACCTTAGGCACCATGGTAGCAAAATCGGTTCTCATCGCGGTGGCGAATTTCGTCAACCCCTTTGCACATAAAGAGCTTACATTTATATTGACATCCTTTTCGAGCATCTGCAGAAAATATGTAAATGAAGAGATGGACGTACTGTTCTTTGTTGAAATCTTTAGATGATTACCTTGGTAAGTGTCACGATGACTTGCTGCACATCAGGAGACATCGCTACGCGTGGCGCGTTCCCCATAACTGACAACAGACCTTCGATCGCTTCTTTTCGTTCTTGCCATTTCTTTGAAGCAGCCTTGAAATCATGGAATTATATGAGACAATCGCCAGCTACATACTACATCCCTAGGCAATAATTGACAGCGACTATTATGAGAATGTAAACCGGATAAAGTTCCACATTCAGAAACACACTGACCAGATCATAAAAGTCTTTCTTCATTTGCGCAACAACATCCGTCGGATCCATCAACGTCCATGGATCAACGTCTTGTGGTGCATTTGATACTGATGCCGAGGTAGCCTAAAGAATAGCTGAGAGGTAAGTTCAAACTGGTGATCTAACATCTGCGGCAAACTTTCGAGGCAGAGGTCCCACAACACATGAAAAATTTCACATACCGCATCGCTATCAACGTCACCTCCTGCTGCATTTTCGATCATTGCTCGTTTTGGACGACTGGCAGCAAACTCAGCATTTTCTTTTATGGCTGCCTCGCGATATTCCTCTATCTAAACGACAGGTAATTGGCAGTTAATAATTCCAAGCTAGTAGTTATTAGAACCTCCAACCAAACCCACCTTTTCCATTTTAGCCTTTTCTCCTCTCAAAGATCCCAGAAAGGCATCAAGACCATTGCCCAACAGCCTTTGTGCAGATCCAAGAGAACTACAAGCTGCATCGCGTACGGTAGGATCGCTATCTGTGGTGAGCTGAAAGTAGAACAGGAAGAGATAAGAAGCTGTGCACTTCCAAACCAACCTTAACGACTATGGGTAACACTGCTTTCGCAAAATCTATGGGCAATGTTTCTTGTCTGATAAAATATCTGTACAAAAATGAACAAAGGCATTGCTTCGACTGTGGACTGGGTTTGGAGAGGTGCTCGCATAAATCCTTCGAAAGTCTATTCGCATCACACTGAAACCATTTATTTCCATAATAGGAAAGCAAAAGTGGTAACTTACCGTAGCAGAAACGGCATCCAGCGCTTCGGCAAGAGCGTCACGCACCGTTGACTTTTTGTCCTTGGCCTTGTCAAGTATGACTGGCCAAATCTGTAGTCGAAAGAATCAAAAATGTCATAGTGAAAAACCACGAATTGTGCGTATGGCGATAAGGATAAAAGTAAAAAAAATAACATACCATCGGTATGAAACAGGCAAAACACTTCCTTAATCCAAAAGCAAGATTTTTCAGAACATGCAAAGCAGCGATCACTACATTGATGTTACTGTCACGAGCTACGATCTGGAAAAATGATAACATACGCTGTTCATTGTCAGAGGACTTGACTCTCACCTTTTTCAATTCATCCATGGTTTCGCCATAGATTGTCATCGAAGAGGTAGACAAACGGGGATGTTTCTCGATTAACTGCGACAATACCTAAATTAGGTACAACCCTAGTAAAGACTCATATTGCGTGAACAATATGCAAAAGGATCAAAATAAACAACGACCAGTTGAACAGATTGCATGTTTTGATAATGAATCGAGACTACACCTGCGGCTATACTCGCATAATCCCAGTGGTCCATCCAAAGCCAGCCCGTTGAGCTCGCCAGACTGTGTGAATGGAAAACAAAAACTACCAATTTTTCTGAGCTCACGCACGTACCGCAGCAACTCTGTAGCCCATCAGCGGCTGTTCGAGAGATAGTTCAGAAAAAATATTCGAGGGGGGGGGGGGGCAAACAAGAATTTCTTCCATTTAAAAGGTTGTGGTTAGCCCCGCTCATCGAAAAAATTTCTAGGAATCAATTCAGTTGATAAAAAGCGAAAACAATTCACCTGCGGGAATTTTTGACTCATACAGTTCACTAAGTTTTCGCTAGATATTCTCGAAGTTGAGAGGTCTTCCATGACCCAGAATAAGCATTAGACTAGAATTCAATACTCCTCCACTCAACTTATCGGCGTACTTGAGTTCTTTGCAAGCTTGTCACGTTCTTGTACTCTGCTTCCCACGATCGATTATCTCACCCCTCTTCGCAAACTTGAAACTCCCCTCTCTTCAATTGTTCTCAATTTCCTCGGCAGCTGTCCTACGCCTTTCTTGCGCCCTGCTTTTGCACAATTTCAAATTACTGATTCTCACGCTTTCTATCATATCGTTTCTTCTGTTTTTGTTTTCTTTCTTTGTAGCCTCTAGATATTCTGGCCATATAGTTTTGGTAGATACTTTGCAGTATGTACTCTTCGATTATCAGTGACGATCATGCTATGGCTACTACCTCTAATTCGGATCCTCTACCAGCGAGAACATGGTGCGGATCCGATTCCGGCTCGTTTCACCACAGATAGCAAAGACCTTTGTGGTAGAAACTGAATAACACGCATAGGAGCGATTTTGATTATTAACTAGTGGACCAGTAATCTAAAGGTGGAGGAGCATTCGCTTCAGGACCGCCACGCGGTTTCCCGCTGCACATTTTTGAACTGCGCTTACGATTCTTTATATATTAGAATCGCGCTTACGATTCTTTATATATTAGATTAGATTAGATCACTCAAGATTTATCAGCGTTTGCAACCCTTACAATCGCAATTCACACTTCCCAAAAAAGTTGTAGCCACCATGAAGAGTGTCTTATCGAGGCGAAAGGAACCCATCAAGCGGCGTTCAACCAGTGATAATTTAGGCGTTTTACAATGTGATCGGCAGTAAAAGGCTGTGACTCCGCAAAACTGACTTCCCTTGCTTTTGATTTTATGATAGCTTTTACTTCTAAAGCTTGTCATGGCCGCCAAAGTACCGAGAGGCCAGTTTTGTGAAAGCAGGTTAACCATTAAAAATCGCATGACCGCCTGTTCCCATTAAGCAAGTCCAACTCCCTCACTCGCAGCGCGCAAGGCCGTTTGCACGCATGCCGGAAACAGAACCCGACCAACTGTGGAACAAAGCGAGCAAGTTATATCAATGCTGATACTTCAACTCAAACTAGCGCTAACTCAAATAGGTGACCAAATGTACGAATAACATACGAAAGGAAAAATAAGGGAAAAACCATGCCCAGAAATTTCAAAAAAATTTACCAAAAAACAGCTCAAATACGTAGAAAAAAGCACAGATGACACAAATCAAACCATACATACCTCCAGTGCTTCCTTCCTTTCCAGCCACTTTGAAGACTGCACATTTTTCTTGTGTTCGTTAGGCCATAACGCGATCACATCTACTTCATCTAACAGATCCCATTCATCCATCTAATGCTAAAAAGAATTATATGATACGAGATAACCCTAAGAAAGACATGGCGATAGTTGTTGAAAATATGGAAATATAGTCTCTAGCAAGATCACGTTTCGAAATCCTGAAGCGGGAATCTCCACCAAAAGCTACGATGAGTCATCGAGCAAAAAAAGGTTTGTAGATTAGATTCATGAGAAAGCTTCCAAAAGTGGAAAAGGAATAGGCCGGATGAGGAAATGCATGTGAAATTAACAATTCCTTATCATGCCGCTATGACAAGAAGAGGATCTATATGCAAACAATGACAGAGCTATTATGAGCTTAGCTGTGATGCAGAGCGTGAGTAATTCGTATGACTATGATATTGAACGCAATGACACGTGAAAAGCAAGATTACTGCATACTAACGTACCCATTTCAAACTTAAAATATCCTCTTGAAGTCTATGATGACAGTCGGTTTTCCATGCATATAAGTGCGTTCAGCTAGATAATTTACGTTTTGCCTATATCGTCTTTAATGCCAAAAAAAAAAATTCAAAGTTCAAAGCACTATTAAACCGCGTGGGTGAGAAATGCATATCCCAGCAAACTTCAAAATCACAATGAAGAACCGCTTTGCACCCACGTTTCACCGCGAAAGACTGACGCGTTACGCCAATGTATGCAACGCCTTCATAGCCTGCGTCGATAACAACACTAAAAGACAACTACAGCGCCTTCGCAAAATCGTGACAGCCATTTCGGCTGCGGTCTTTGCACCCACCCATACGTCACAAGTGCATAAAACCCAAACAGAAGGAAGAATTTTTGTTCAGCTCAGCTACTTCGATATCCTGAGCTGCGTCAAGCATCCATCATATGCAAAAAACGACGTAAAAAAAAAACTGAGTACAGGAGGAAGCCAAGAAATTCGGCTGCCGAAACGCGCAAGCGGCGCCAGCTGCCGTCGCCGTTGTCAGGATTTTATGATTGCCCGATACATTGTTTTACGGTTGCATATTTCGCAACACCAGTTTCATCTTGCGCGTAATTAATCTGATATGCAGATCACAAAAATCAAGTCATATTTGGACTGATTTGAAGATGCCTCTGAAGGGACATGCTAGCTGGCTCCAGATTGTGAACATGTATCTACTTGGCTTATAAGGAGGCTCCTAGATGCTGATTCAGTACCGATTGAGGGCTGATGATTAAGACAATAAAAACTGATTCTAAAGAGGGGATACGAGATATTTTTTGGTGCAAATTGGACAAAAAACATCCATTATTGCCCTTTGGGCAAGTTGAGGTAAGGATCATACTAAGATAGTTAAGCAGGCAAAGCATTCTAACTCATGCACGTAAACCTATATGAATCGTTTATTTGTGGAAACAAAACAAAAAACAACAACGAACAAATTCAAATATTGTATTTCAGAATTGCTGACTAATGAGGATCAACAGAGAATGAGAAGCTTGATTTTGCAAAAGCTGGCTAGAAGAAGACAAGCAATATGTTTTGTGCTCACGCTGCTTTAGAGCAGTTCGGAAATTACTGCGGCATTTCCTGGTTTGGTCCATCTCCTTGCTGAGACTTCTTCGTTCCAGACACGATATCATCGATACGTAGTAGCATAACCTAAAAAAGTGAATTGCAAAGGGAACCAACAGTGAAAATGGCTTTAATGGGCTAGCCTACTGGATAAAACAGACAAGATTCAAAAAAGCAGTAAACTAAACCTACCGAGGTTTCCACAGCGGTCTTCAGTACCTGCTCACGGACACTAAGCGGATCCCAGATGTCCAGCTTGCACATATCAACCTAAAGTTACATTTTCTGATTCCAGCATAATAGAGCAGGTATTCGAGCTCACCAAGTCTCCCGTTGTGCCATTGATGCCCCAGGTCCAGTTCTCAGGACTTTGAGCATGCTTCGCGCGAAGAGCGGTAAGTTGACGAATTGTGCTTCCACCGCAGTTTTGGATGAGGGTGCGTGGGATGACCTGAATATCAATGCTTTACGATATAAAAAAGTGAGGGAATGATATTCTAGAAATTTTGGAGTTGACACTAAAATTTCGAAATATTCTCACCTCAAGGGCACGAGCAATTGCCTTGTACGGCCATTGACGAACGCCCTCCATCGATTTTCCTTTCTCGGTTATTGCCTATAAATATTGAATGAGGGAACTGAAAAAAAACATTAACAAATTATCACCTGAGCCAGCGCCATCTCCAACGCTCCGCCACCAGGAACAAGACGAGGGTTCAGCATGATATTGCGTACGACATGGAGGGAGTCTTGAAGATTTCTTTCAACCTAAATCTGCAGGATGCACGACAAATCGCCAAAAATCATTATATGCAAATGAAGCAACCTCATTTATGACATCTTTGGAAGGACCACGAAGACAGATAGTGCATGCTGTGGTCTTTGGAGAAGTGACGTAGGTGTAATATCTATAAAAATATTTGTGCATACCGATTACTTAGTCAAGTAGACATTATATCAAAGAAAGGACGAAATCATATCATACCACTACAATCCAAGATGAATTTCTACTACAGATGATCACAAAAGTATTAACACCTCTTGCAGAATGACTTCCTTGTCTGTCCGGATATAACCAGAAAACAGTTTCACATCAAATAACATGATCACTTACTCGTCGGCAATTTTTGTGATTTCAAAGAGGTCAGCTTCTGTACCGACGTCGGACTCACGAAGATCGGTGGTATCGTTGACGATGCGAGCACCGCACACCCTTAAAGCATACATGATGATATCAATCACTACTTTACAGTTTATATGTGTCACATTGGTGTACAGGTGAGAAAAGACAGATGACGAGAATTGATGTTTACTCCAGACTCAGAAAAATTACATGTATGCAATTTCTGAAGCTCAGTAATCATGCTAGCGCGGATTGCTTGCCAAGAAACTCTACTTATATTGTTGACCATCTCATATGAAATGAAATGTGTCATAAAATGCAAGCGCCGAAATTATTGCAAATAGTGCCTAAATTGAATTAAAAAACATGTGAAGGGTACAATCTCATAAAGACTTAAAGTATAACTGAAAGCGTTAAGAAGTAACCAAACGCGTTGAATGAACATGTCAAGTTCATGAAAAATGTACACCGGCTCCAAAAGATATCAAAGTGATAAAAATAGACATGGCCATGCTAAAACGTACCGTGCCAATCTGTTGTTATCCGTTTTCTTCAAGCGCCTAATAGCTGTGATGCCAGCTTTAAGTAGGAAGTGCTGTGCAAGATCAGAAACGCCTTTTTCGGTGAACACAAGATCAGGCTTCACACGTATGATATCATCACACTGCTTTCTGATAGACTCCTCTTCCTGAAAAAAAAAAACCACAACTAAGCGATCCAAAAAAGGCTTCAAAAACACATGGTAGCCAACCAACCTGCTCGAGAATCCTGCTTATGTCCTCTTCCTTCATTATCTCCAGCGATGTTTGTGATTCACCTTTCTTATACTCGAGATTGCAGTCAAGCAATACAATACGTGGGTTTTCGATACGTCTGCGCATTTTAGCGTGGGTTACATCCTGCAAGCGAAGGTTAAGGGTGTGATCTACATGACCCGCTAAAAATTCCTTACCTTGTTCAAAACGACTCCTTTGATTACTTTACAGTCCTCGATTGTGCCGCCCGGGACCTTTTCGATGCGACAATACCTATACCAGTTATGCAAATAGAAACATGGATCGAATTCTACTTCCAATATTGGAGAACGAAATCGAAATGAAAGAATGCAAAAAAAAAAACGAAGCGCAAAAAACATGAGTAGCTTCACGTCTCACCTCTTGATATCGATCTCGCTAGCACTTCCTTTGTCTACCCTGATAGTTCTAATCGCATCAAGAGAGATTTGAACAGCAAGATCCATCCATTTGCTAATCATTTTTGTGCCAAGACAAGATTTAACAACAGTGGTGACCTGTTGCAAAGTATTAACCAAAATCAAAAACTGGTGAGTGCTGTACATGCCTCTTTCTCATTGTTGATGTCAACAGGCTTACTAAACTTCTCCTCAGCGAGTTTTACCATATCTTCCAAAGCAGCACGGTAAGCCTAAATGCATGGTTCGAAGATTTATACTACAACATACTCTTTCACACCTGAATGATGATGGTGGGATGTATTTTCTGCTCAAGGAACGGCTGTGCTTGAGCCATAACCTCCCCGGCCAGTACAATTACCGATGTAGTGCCATCTCCAGTTTCCTCGTCCTTTAAATGGTTTTTGTAGATAGATATAATGCAAGGTAACAAACTAATCTCGATGATATCATGCTATATACCGATATTCCGAAAAATTAATACCTGAGTTCTAGCAATTTCGATCATGCTCTTTGCTGCTGGGTGTTTCACAGTAATCTCCCTGTAACGAGAAACCTTAGACGATTAGCAAACACAAAAAGCAATCTAAAGGGTCTACCTAAGAATTGCATTTCCATCATTGGTCATAACAATTCCTCCCATAGGGTCCATGAGCATTTTCAGCATTGCCCGAGGACCAAGGCTGGTGCGAATCACATCGGCGATAGTCTGAAACACCGTTCATGATGTTAAAGCAACATAGAAATCCAAAAAAAACGTAAAAATTGAAAACGCTGATTAGATTCAGATCGCTCACCTTACAAGCGGTGATATTCCCAATTTGAACCTGATGACCACTCTCTCTTTTTGTCCCTTGGCTCAAAACGATGATCGGCTGTTGACTCGCACCACGCATCATCTTTACCCTGAAACGTAAGCACACTTGTGGTAAAACAGGGGAATGAAGATGAGGAGCAAGTTCAGCTCGAATGTTTGAAAGAGTTCAGCTAAAGGACCCCATTCGAGAAGAGAAAAAAACTGCTCGGCAAACCATAAAACAAAATCACGAGCAAAGAGTTCAATGAGCTACGTTTGCACCATTATGCGCTAGCAAAACTCGCGATAAGATTCGATGCTCCACTGAAAAGCTTGCGCTCTCGAAAATTCTCAATTAAAGGACGTCAAATTTGAAACGTTCGTGCCGGGATCCTACAAATCGATCGTGCCAACATTTTTGTAGCGCAGAATTAGCCCTGCTTTTTCCATCGGTTTATAGTAAGTTTCAACTCAGTTTGGGCAGGAATTGGACTGGCGGTAATCCGCTTTGTAACGATTCGCGCCGCTTTGCAATCTGCCTCTCTTCATTCTCATCTATCTCATTCAGCCAGTGGCGGTGCGGACGCGCTGCTCTACTTGGGATGTTTCGCCTACTCCGGGTTGAAAAAGATTGTACAACATGGCCATTAACAAAATTCGCATTTTTGAGCTGCTATCATGTGCTGTGGATTGGGGAGCGTGAATATTGATAAATTATGTATCGGCATAGGAGCAGGTATCACATATCATTTCTGAGAATTCTAAAAGTTGAGCTCGCTTTGCACACATTGTCTGGACAAGCTTGAACATGTTTAACAAGCACTAGAAATCGTCTCTAGCACCATTCACTTCTTGTAAAACAGGTAAGAACAAGTATTGGCATGCTTAGACAATGTGTGCAAAAGCGTGCTCGAGTCCCCTAGTCCGAGAAAATTTGTTCAAGCCAATAATCTGCGTAAGCAAACTTTGACCCTGACCTAAACTGACTATGGGGTTTCTTTTGATTTAGATGGTTACATTTTCAGTTTTTCTCTGGCTCTGTTAAGATCGAACTCATGCCCTATAGTAGTCAAAACATCGCGGATATTGTCAGCGCGAATAAAGTTGGCGAAAATTAATATGCTTTCATTTTGAAGCATTGTTCTATTTATGAGCTGTCACGTCATCGCTTACTATACGGCTGAAAGGGGACACTAATTCTGTACAAATGGATAACCCGCTTTCAAGTCTTTCTTTTCAAACAGGTTGATGGTAAGGAGGGTTCTTTTGCATCATTCATTTTCCAGAAGAATAGCGCGTTTTGCACATATTATCTATTTCAGTTTCATCTAGGTTTATTTACCACTTGAAAACAATAAAGAACAGTTGAAGCTTGTTTAGGGAATGTCTCAAAGCGTTTTGGAGACGCCTAGTCTCATTTATATGGGTTTTGGGTTGCTGAGTTCTGTGTTTTTGAGTTGACCGTGACGATCTCGTTTGACCATTGAGTTGAGGCGGTCATCAGTTAGTTATAACAGAAGCTGAGGTCCGACAAATCTTCAGAATCTTTCATTCATGTTTCTTTTAGTGGAGTCCGAATCGAGGATCTCGAACTCTGGGCTCTATTTGAGTCCAGCTTTTGACATCAAGTTTTTTTTTTCATTTCATTTCATTCATACGCTCGAGCCGTTCTAAACAAGAACAATGAAGTGCTAGTCATACTTGGAACACAACAGTAACCAAAAACAAATCACCACGTCGTTCTAACATAAGCATCAAGTTGCTTCAGTTGTAATGACCGCTACGCGAGAACGCACGCCAGCAATTATTGAATCACCGTTTCTCACATAGTTTTTTGATTTTGGTGTTGAACCAGTTTTATTTGCTCGTTTACACAGTTTATGATCGCACTCGACTACCTCTATCTTTTCCTCTTTCCAGCGAATTTCGCCTTGAAAGAATATATAAAGTCAGATTTGTCGTCCGGCCATTCTGTATAACGTGAATGCACCCTTTTAGTAGAGGTGAGTTTTGTTTGATAATTTAATCTGTTGTGTTTATATGCTTAATTGCGATCAAAGGTTTATTACTCAATTCTCTTCTGCTCCCAATTTCTGAAGCTCATTTTATGTTGTACCATACTATAGGCTATGCGAAAGAATCGAATAGAATCGAGAGAAAACATCAATAATCGGAGGTCCAGAATAGAGTTAGGGAATAGAGAGTTAATGCCAGTGTGGTTAGGGGAAACACCAAATTAGCAAAATATAGTTATAGCTGAATAGGCCTGTTATGTTAATAGACACTGATAAAACAGCTGGTTGGTAATTGACATGCTTTTGGAGGCGTCAGGAACTGTAATGCTTGTGTCAGTTATCAACGTAGTCGTCATTCTCACTTTTCAGATCGAATTGGTTATGGAGACAACCGACGTAACATTCCACCGTTAATTCCGGTTTGTGTAAGCAACACGCAATTTTTTTCTCAAATCGACATTTCTGTCACATCAGTAGCTTCGCAATCTTGGTATTCTTTAGGAACCTCTTTTTGGTAGGGCAGATTATAACGACCGCAATGCTGACAATTTCTACAGGCAGAGGCGCATCGCTGATGTTCCGCTAAGACGAGGTTACCATTCTCAGATGCTTTTCCTCACCATTTTTTGTTTTTTAGAAGAAGATTGGCGTTCACCCCTCTTTCGGAGAACCGAAAGTTTGCATGGAATGTCTTATGAGTAAGTTATGTTTGCTGCATTTTTGAACAACGTTCTCTTTTCGAGTTAATTCTTTGAAATTCAATTTTTCCTATTTTGCACATTGAAGAACTCTTTGCTTTGCTTTTCTTCTTCTTGCAATGAAACATCATTTTCAGGGCATGGCAATCACAACCACCTCTTGCCGTAAGTGGTGATTTAATTTTTTTGCAAACCAAATAATCGTTTTTTCCTGATTTAGAGAGAGCTGAGACCGGATTCTTGGAGAGTGGGCGCACCTGATCTGAGGAGGAACGACTGGAGAAGAGAAGGGTATCACTCCTTTACTGATAACATAGCTTCCAAGAACTCAAATATTAGATCCTGGCGTCCTCGTTCCCCATCTCCGGCAAGTTTTGGAAGAGCACCATTGGAGTCACATTATCGACGTCCATCACCAGGTAGGAGATGCGCAATTGCGTTCATTTATGAATGACACTGAAAATTATTGGTTCGTATTTGAAGGTTGGCGAAATGATGCCCCGAGTAGATCTGCTAATTCCTACCCGACTCCGGAAAAGGTACGAAGAGATAGTTCGGCATCACGGGACGGAAGGACTTTATCATCGCGCGACGGAAGGCGTTCTAGTTCAGTATTGGATCGTGAGAAGGAGAAGCGTGACACTTCGAATGGTGAAGATACAAATCAGGTTGGTTTGGTACTTATTGTTGTGGTGGAATGCGTTCTACCTCAAATTTGAGCGAATCCATTATTCGTTGCTTTTTTCAAAACTTTTATGTCTGAGCTTCTATGATTGCTTAGGGAACGGCCATAGGTTGCCGAGGAGTACTATGAGGTCCTACCGGTTGGTAGGACCTCGTAGTACTCCCTGTGTGTTGTGCGCTCTCTAAAAACCCCAGCAACTTGGGCAAGCGCTGCCGACAACCTATGTCCGTTGCCGACAATGTCTGCTCCCTTAGCTACCGATTTAGCTATGGTTATATTTCATAGTTAATTTTGATCTGCATCGTTTGTTGTACGTGCGTATGGCAAAGCCTGGATCTGTTCTTTTTGCTTGATTCTAGCGCATGCCGCCATATGACATCAAATTCAGGAAACTATTCGTATGAAGTCGACAACTAAGGAAAGGCAAAGTTACTGGGCTCCTAAAGAAGAAATGCAGGAAGAAAACACTGCCGACATGTCTAATTCAAATACAAATGGTTCTAAAGCTGCAGAAAACGAGGTAAAGAAGACCATCGAGAGAAACTCTGCACGTGTGCGTGTAAAAGAAGAAGTGTGTGATCCGCCAGAGCCTAATGAGAAAGAAGCTGCAGTTGAGGTACGTTTTGTGGTATGATGTTCATGCATGGTATCACAAATGCGGTATCTCGACAGCTTTGATGTAGACGGAATCTGTTTTGGCAGGGGAATGGCATTTTCATTAGTTTCTTGCCAACGGGACGGATTTGTTTGGTGGTTTAAGCGATTGTGGTCCATTCACGGTAATCTAGTATTGTAAGGGAGATCCACAGTTTGAGAATGTCCTAACATGTTGACGTCTGTCGTGAACGACTCGATCAAGACGTGCTTTGGGAAACCCGTGTGCTTTAATCTGCCGAGACATCGCTTCAAAATGTGGGCGGAGGCGCAGTAAGATTCGAAGATCTTCTAACGGTGTATAGTGTTTGCACTCTTTCACGCTCACTCTTTTATAACTTTTACCCTAATCTCACAAATACAAGACACACCCCTTTTCTAAACTCGACTAGTCTAAACACAGCAAAGAAGTTCGCGACCAAAGGATCGTGTGATCCTTACCTGAAAGAAAGATGAGAGCGACCATTTTGTGAGGCACAGCGTTGCAGTCGAGCCGTTAGCTCGAGAAGTAAAGATGCGTCGTGTACTCGTCAAATCAGGGTAACTTATCACACGCATTGCATGCACTGCTGTCGAACCAAGCTAGTCGGCTTACAGTCGCTGTTAGTTGGAAGGATCTTTGAATTTCAAATATCACAGACCAATAAGTATAGTCGTATTATGTGGATACCACCTGTCTTTTGACTTGACCATAGAATAGGTAAGATTTATCTAGTACGTAACTGAACTGGTGAGAGCGAAGCTGTCATACTTGCCAAGCTGCAGCTCACTTGAAGCCTATTTGTATGAATTTACTAGTGGACATGTAGAAGTTCTACTCTGTTTTGGAAGTGATTTAGCCTTCATGGCAAGGTTTGAATAACCTTTATTTGGCTAGCGTTTCGGCTAACTCGCCTTCGTCAGAGCGTGTAAATGAGGAACTAATGAGATTTACCCTCTCAAATGTCCGATCAGTTGCTAGAAAGAGACATAAAGTTGAAATAGACGATGTCTAGAATAAGCAGCCCACCTTGAATGGCCAAGTGTAAGTGGCGGAAAACTTCTGATGAAAATGCTGAGTGATTAGTGAGCTAGGTTATTGGTGCTAGAGTTGCAGATCAAACCCGCATAAGTTTAGGAAGGGCAGTCCGGGAATCCAGCTCACTAGTCACTTAGCAATTTCGTCAGTGGTGGTCCGTGAGTCACAGTCAGTCACATGCGCCACATCCAATAGGCATCGCCTGTTTCAACTTGATGTCTCTTTCCAGCAATTGACAGGATTTTTGGGTAAATCTCATCCGTTCTTCTTCAAGGCTCTGACGAAGGCCAGCTGGCCGAAACATTAGCCAAAAAGAAGTCGTACTAACGTACTAATTTTGGTGAAGGCTAAATCACTTCAAGAAACGATAGAACGCCAACATCTAAAAATATATCTGCTGCGATTGAACGAAATTGAAACCTCAAAGGCGGCGTCCACAAAATTCTGACTTTCATGTTTTTGTTGTTATCAGGCCTTTCCATGGCTCTGATTTCGCATATGAGGTGCAAGTCAAGGGAAAGCTCTAAAATTGCCTTTTTCTGGAGTCCTATTTTGGCAGAAGTGGACGAGGTTCCGGCGCTAGTCGCGTCGATAAGGGGTGGGGCAGAAAAGGTTGCAGGTTTATTTTCTCCTGAGGTAACATCAGGGGACCAAACCAACGCAGTCGGTCTCTGAGGGCTACTCATAGAATAAGTGCGTAACCCCGGGGTGCACGGATTCTGGAGGGACGCTCCCGTCAAGTGCATCTCAGGTGTGCGGCATCTCTGAGAACTATACTGAAGTTCTCTGGGCCGCGTCAAGGTCGCCTAAGTGCCGGACACGGAACTGGCACTTGAGCAACTCTGGATGCAGCCTTACGAAATTGAGCTCGTGGAATCTTTAGAAAAGCATATCAATATGACTTCATACGAATGACGGAAAATTGTCAAAATATATAGAACTAGCTGGCTTGCCCGGCTCCGCCGGGCCTGCCAGCTAGACCCGTGTACGTATGTTCCAAATAGAAAATTCCATTTCTGAACCGATCCGGACCAAACTTTGCACACATACACTTCGGGCCCCGGCGGGTGTCACAGTCCACTTTTCGTTATCGATCGATGTCGATTATACCGATTTTTATCGATCTTTTTTGCAGAGTTCACCTACAGGGCTAGGAGTTGGCACAGGGGGGAAGTGAGCATGGGGATTCCGAACACAATATTAGTTTTCAGAATTATCGATTACTTTTATTGATTTTATCGATTTTTTTGTAAATTTTGACCTGCGGGGCTGGGAGTTTGCACAGGGGGGTAATCGAGCATGCTGATTACGAACACAATATTAGTTTTCAGGATCGTCCATTACTTTTATCGATTTTATCGATTTTTTTTGTAAAGTTTGACCTGCGGGGCTGGGAGTTTGCACAGGGGAGTAATCGAGCATGCAGATTACGAATACAATATTAGTTTTCAAGATCGTCCATTACTTTTATCGATTTTATCGATTTTTTGAAAATTTGAGCTAGGGGGCTGGAATTTGGCACAGGGGTGTAATCGAGCATGCTGATCACCCCCCTTGGGGATGATCAGCATGCTCGATTACCCCCCTGCGCCAACTCCCAGCCCCCTAGCTCAAACTTTGCAAAAAAATCGATAAAATCGATAAAAGTAACCGATAATCCCGAAAACCAATATTGTATTCGGAATCCCCATGCTCGACTACCCCCCTGTGCGAACTCTCAGCCCCGTAGCTCAAACTTTGCAAAAAAATCGATAAAATCGATAAAAGTAATCGATAATCCTGAAAACCAATATTGTATTCGGAATCCCCATGCTCGATTACCCCCCTGTGCCAACTCCCACCCCCGTAGCTCAAACTTTGCAAAAAAATCGATAAAATCGATAAAAGTAATCGATAATCCTGAAAACCAATATTGTATTCGGAATCCCCATGCTCGATTACCCCCCTGTGCCAACTCCCAGCCCCGTAGGTGAACTCAGCAAAAAAATCGATAAAAATCGATAAAATCGATATCGATCGATGACGAAAAGTAGCCTATGACACTCGCCGGGGCCCAAAGTGTATGTGTGCCAAGTTTGGTCCCGATCGGTTCAGAAATGGAATTTTCTATTCGGAACATACGTACATACAGACATACAGACAGACATACAGACATACAAACAGACATTCAGCTTTATATATAAGACGAAGCATCAAGCAAACCAATTTACTTCGAGATTTTGACGGAAAGGAATACTTAGAAAGAAGCAAAAACTTTTCAAACTCACGGGGCTCATTACGAATTTTTGTCACAGGTTCCCCCTTCCCTTTGCATATTTTCCCTGGCCGTCATCTCCTTGTTCATGCAGAAACTTTGAGAATAGAAGTTGTGAAGATGGGAAGAATCTTTTTGAGGCCTACATGCATTTTAGCTCTAGTATCTGAGGGGACATGCTCAAGGCCTTGGTGGACGTAAGACGAAGGTAGATAAGATTCAGTGCATGATCAAGAAGCATCAAATCCTCAGCAGTTCTGAAGTTAGATGCCTCACTTCAAAAAAAATCGAAGTGCTATTAAGTGCTCTAAAGACATGCAAAGAAATGGCCGCTGTGAATTTTACAGGAACTCACATTCCATAGATCCAAGTTTTCAAGATTGGCCAAACTAACCGTTTGCGCAAGTGAAAGCTCAACGAAAAACCATATTGTCAGAATTTTGGCTTCTGGTTATACAAAAACGATAAAGTTCAAATACCCGAAGACAATTTGATGCAAAGGAATGGCCGCGGTGAAGTTTACAGGAACTCACATTCTATATATCCAAGTTTTCAAGATTGGCCAAACTAACCGTTTACCCAAATTAAAGCTTAACAAAAAACCATATTGTCAGAATTTTGGCTTTTGATTATACAAAAACGATAAAATTTAAGTACTCCGAAGACAATTTAATGCGAAGGAATGGCCGCTTTAACTTCACGAGGAACTCACATTCTTTAGATCCAAGTTTTTAAGATTGGCCAAAGTAACCGTTTACGCAAATGGCAAATGAAAGCTCAACAAAAAATTGTCAGAATTTTGGCTTTTGATTAAACATAATCAATAAAATAGTACTCCGAAGACAATTTAATTCGAAGGAATGACCGCTGTGAACTTTACGAGGAACTCGCAATATGTTATAGATCAAGTTCTTAAGTGGCCAAATTAACCATTCAGACAAATGAAAATTCAACAAAAACCATATTGCTAGAATTTTGGCATCCGATCTAGAGGACATCTAATTTACCAAATTGATTCGGAATGACCGCAGCCCGTATCTTCTGCGTTAGAGAGAGAAGGAAGGAGTTAGTTCTATGTCTATGAACTCATAAGTACCTTTCATTTTTTGAACACTATCAACGAAGTTATTTTTGTATTCATCAAAACGAACATTCGAGGGTGAAAGTGAGGAAACATGTCCTTGGAGGGTATAAACTGGAAGTGAGCGTTTTGAAGCCGAAATATATAATAACGTCTCTAAACATACATAGATAATATTTTGACATTCATCAAACAAAACCACAGTTGACACTACAAGTTTTTGTACAAACAAGCGATGATTCGAGCTTGAAGAAACGTTAATCCTTCCATGAGCAAGATCCTATTAACAATAACATTGAACATTCGTTGCGATTAAGCTTTTCTAAAGTTCGAAATGAAATGTAACAATATACAGGAATAAAGGAGTTTTAACAGATCTTTCAGAACATTTTCAGAACAAAAATGTCGATGAGTCGGAAAAATCGTCTCAGACTAAAGAGAAAGGTGTCGATGAAGATCAGGCGGCATCAGAATCGGACAAGAAAGAGTCGCTGGTTGTGAAAGCCAACTTTGAAGATGTGCACTTGTTTGCTAAGCACAAGATATACGATGCATCGGCAGCACCTCACAAAGGTGCGCCCAGCATCAGTTGGTATGAGCAGTATCTCATGAACGTCAACAAAAGAAAACGAGACTTGGAATCCGGGTCAGTTGATTTCGTTTTGCTTTTGACACATTGATTGTTGCTATTGTCACATAATACAACACAAATGGTACAGATTTGGAAATCGTTGACACAAGCGGAAAGCACGTTTTCGAAATTTTATTTTACACAACACATTGGTAAAGATTACACTGCAAGACAAACACCACACAATTTTATAAACTGTATGTCGAATCAACAAAAACTCCAACACAACATGAAACATACATACGACCTAGTTTTGGTTAAGACTTTTAGTTTGGCTGTTGCTCCCCCTTTGGCGCAGGCGTCAGTGCGACGTAATGGTCCTCGGCTGTCTCCACAAGCTTCCTACGATTCGGTATCTCCTGCTACGCTAGGTTCGTTACTCTTTATGCAACATTGGAATGAGTTAAAAGTTGCTGTCGTCATTTTTTTCTTCAGCATAGTCTCAATGGCTTTCAAAAAAGCTTTAACACAATCAAAAAGTATTGTATTAGCGTTGAACTCGAAAAAAATGCCGTCTTGGAGAATACAGCATATAAAAGGCACGAACCGAAAGTTCAGAAAGAAACTATACAAAGAACGCTTAAAGGCAGTGTCCAAGTAAATAGTGGATTTTGAGATTTTCTGCTTACCCGGGCCCATTCGCCATGCTGAATCCGATAAATCACACTGGAGAGCGCGAAAACGGCGAAAAAAGGCTCTAACACAGCAGGGAAATCGGAGGTGGGCGGGGCCGTTCACACCATGACGTCACTCTCCCAGGCTTTAGGAGCGATCTTCTTGGTTCCGATTTTATGTCATGCGCTTCGCAGTTGGCTGGTGGTAATGTTAGGGCGATTAGCATAAGCGAAAAGATCGCTCCTGAAGCTGGGAGAGTGATGCCACCATGTGAACAGCCCCGCCCATCTGCAATTTGCCTTCTCCGTTAGAGCCTTTTTTGCCGTTTTCGCGCTCTTCAGTGTTGATTTTCGGATTCAGCATAGCGAATAGGCCCAGGTAAGTACAAAATCTCGAAATCGACTTTTTGCTTGGACACTGCCTTTAAGATCGTTATAGCCTATATGGGCTTTCTTTTCTAAATAAATGCAGGCAGCTGACGCACGCATATTGGTTTACCACGCAGAGCACTACGGCCTTTTTGGGCAGCGAATCAGTGACTATTGCACCCTTTCGCCTCCGAACACAGGATGAGAACTGCTTCGAAAGTCAGGACTACTGTTCCGTAGCATTTTTAGTTTGGATTATTTGCATGTTCGGACCTGAAGAAAGTCTAGCTGCTCGCCTTCTTTGTGATACAAAGACGACTAATTGCAGCAGTGAACATGACAAGTTTTAGACATCAAAACAGAAGACATGATTTGTAAAATTGAAGCATGATGCGAATTGGAAGAAAATATAAATTACTGAAGTTGCACAACGTCCAAGACAGTGTTTTCTCATACTGAACAAGTTCTGCGTTAATCTTACTAAGATGTGGCTGGGATTTGAGATGGATTTCGGGAATTGACAATGATAATATTCTTGCAGTAAGTCGGTGAACGCGAAGTCGATCCTGTCGTGCTTTTTGAGATATCTCATATCTGAGACTGAGATCAATTTGAGAAATGGTTGTAGAGTATACTTTGGAATATTCGAGAATTTTTCAAATAATCGAATAACCGAATATATTCGAAAGTCAAAAATCGAGTAATCGATTTTCGAATATTTTCAAAAACAAAAAATGTCGAATATTCGAATATCGAATATTTTCGAAAAGCAAAATTATCGAGTAATCGAATATCGAATATTTTCGAAGTAAGGAAATCGTCGAATAATCGAATATCGACTATATTCGAAATGAAAAGGAATCCGAATAGTCGAATAAATTTGAGAAAAAAAATCCGAATAAACGAATATTTTGCATCGATTATGTTGAATATTCCACAAATATTGACCCAATTAGCACAATGAAGGACTCCATGCAGGGCTCGGCACGAGGTGGCTAGATGAAAATGGAAAAAACGAAGTCCCCCTTGACTTTTGGGAATTTTTACGAAGTCCCCTTTGACCCTCAACCAAATTCCCTCTAAAACCTGAAAAATTCCCCAAAATCCCCCAAAAAACGAAACGTCGACTAAAAAAAAAGGTCGCCGTCGCCAATTTTCCGTGTCTCTTCGGTCACAAAAACGAAACCCCCTTTGCTTTTCGTCCTAAAAACGATACCCAGCTTGCTTGTAAGCCACCTCGTGCCGAGCCCTGACTCCATGCAGTGGGTAACTTGGACAACAAACAATGTTGCTGATATAGCAGTCAAAATTGTGACGCTGTCATTAGTTATTCGATTACACGAAATAGTCGAATAATTGAATAACTTCTGAAAATCAATATTCGAATGTTTGAATATTTTCGAGAATCAAAATTTTCGAATAACCGAATAATCGAATAAATTCGAAATTGACAAATTTCGAATAAGCGTATATCGAATATATTCGAGATTCTGAAATTCTCGAATAATCAAATTTCGAGTAAAATTTATTCGAGTACTTTATTCGAATAGTCGAATATTTAATCGATTCTGTCCAAAGTATAATATATTGTAGAGTTGCTCTACTCGTACTTTTGCAGAAATGCGGAAAGTCCATCGTGGCTACCCACCTGTGTCGGGTTCATCTTCTTCGACGTACTCGAATCTTGGGAAAGAGCCGCTCCGCATGGTGACTGCATCTTTTCAATTCCCGGTTATGGTTGTGTAAAATTTTTGTTTTGAGAGATCGCCTCCTCCAGGACAGCTGATCGATCCCAATGAATTTATAGAAGAACTGAGCGATAACGAGGATTGGGATAGCGTAAGATTGCTGATCGAATTGCTGGTTATTTCGTGCATTTTAAACTTTTTAGATGGCTCAAGTGCTACAGACAATGCCACCAAAGCGAAAATCGGAGCTACCTCTTGATAGACCCCGTAAGTGTATCATCTAGTTGTCGACCGCAGGAACTGCCCGTAAAATGGCAGGCACGCTCAGCGCGCCTGAAATGTCACGAGAGCACGACTTGTACAATAGTTATTTGTATTGGTACAAGTTGCCGCACGGCGCATGCATCGCGTCTACGGCCCTTGTACGGTCAACGACTCGACTTTATTTTGCCAAGTATACTTGATATAAAGATTGCTCTTAATCAGAAAAAAGGCCCTTGCTCGGAGTCCCGCCACCACCAAGGCCTACTTCTGCTTCTGATCCATGGCAAGATCCAGCAGCAGTGAAAGCAAAACCGTTGTTTCCGAAAGCATATCCTAGTGTCAGTTATGTTCCACCTGTTGAGGTGCGCTTCGCTTGTGAAAAAGTTGTTCTTTCTATCGTTTGCTTTATAGAAATCGTTCTTTCGTATGGAGTTTCCGAGCGTTGCTCCCAGGATCTATTTCACTCATAAGCAGTAAGCGTATCTCAGCCCTGGGCAAAAAATTCCATTTTCAAATTCAGAAATGAACCAGAACATGAACCGGAGCCACCGAGGGATGGGCCACCACAAGCTCGCATAGCTCCAGCTGTTGCCCTAGAACAAGGTTCGAAATCCAGTGCAACAATTTGTTTGCATTTTTGTATACTCTGTTCTTTAGGTGATACCAGCTGGCGATATTCGCAGAGACCTCCTAGGGTTAGTGCATGCATTTTTCAGTCGATTTTTTTTTATAAGTTCGCTTTCCAGCGTTTTGCGCCCGATCCCATGCCTGGGGGATACTTCTAGACGTCTACGTGTGAGCGTATTTCGAGATATTGAGAAAGGAGACGAGAGAACTCATGGTTATCCTCATCAATTGCTTTCTTGCTAGGTTTATTCTTTTAATGACGCTTATTCGGGTCGTTCTAATGATTTGGAGTTTTGAGTACAACCTGAAAAGAGGAAGAATTGAAATGTTTCTTTTTGCGGTAAATCCGATATCATCTCAATAGTCCAGTTTGTGATCTGGATTTGGGGAGTTCATCTAAGCTTAGGCTATTTAAATGTAAAGTTCCACTGAGAATACAACTGCATCTATTTAACCGTATTCGTGAGTTGTGTATTGCTAATCCATGGTTCATTCTGAAGAAAATAATTCTGTGTTGCATGTCACCAGTATCTATTCAATAAATATTGTCATAACAAGTCTTTTATGGGCCAGGCACTTGTTCCGTTGTACTCTCATTATCTATCTAGATTAGTCGGAAGTATTTTTGTTTCCCATTGGCTTAGACAGGCTATTTAGATGGTACGCAGCGAAGATGAATTCGGGGAGAAGATCGATCGGTACGTTCATTCAGCAGTTTTCCAGTGATTGAGGAAGTAAAGATACATTATTCAAGTATTTATTGGGATAACAGTAAGTGTATAATTCTAGCACTACGTGGAGAGTTCTTGAGTTGTGTCTTTAACTGTATTGTAAGTCACAGGCCATACTTGATTTACTTAGTCCACGTCATCCACTCCGCTATTGGTCAGTTCACTGACTTGACCAGTAGCGACGTGAATCAAGCGGATCAAAGGCAGTGTCCCAGCAGATTTTTTGCATTTCCATCTTATTCTATGTTCTGGGCCTTTTCGACCCGTAGACCCCGAATTTGGGCTTTGAAACGGGTGAAAAGACCTTTTTCGAGGCGTTTACCATATGTCAAAAAGGCAGCCCGGACGAGAATTTTGATGGAAAGTTGGGAGACGCTAGCACGAAGACTCTGCTGCCTGTAGTCTTTGCTTTGGATAGCATGCACAATGCAGGAGAACGGTCGTGGGGTCCCGCGCCGAATGGTAAGCGAAGTCGTCCGAGCGCGCGCTGATTGGTTTAAGGGCTATATTCTCTGCGCGGAGGGAACATCAACTAACCAGACTGCACCGGGAGGTCAGTGGAATGACCGGGAACCCCACTATAGCAATATCCCCCAAGGCGCGAATCTGCCGGGACACTGCCTTGAAGTGGATCATATAGCAAGTGCCTAAGGGAAGGGTCACACTAAAGTTTTCTTCCGTTTCAGCCGCTTCAAACAAAATGCGGCACCGTTGAATATAATTTGTCACCTGGTGTCGCGTAAATGGAATTCAGAGCAAAATTTTGCTAAGTATTGATGCGATTTGAAGGCATTTCCTGTATTCTGGATTTTCTCTTCTATTCTTCTCTCTTATAGATGTTTGGCTGACTCTCTACTCAAAATAAGTGGAGGAATCGCCATCGGTGTTGTAGCGAGTGTTGCATTCTTCAAGGTAAACATCTCTCGTGCAAATGAAGTTGATCACAGCTGCAACATTCAGAGCCGATCCTGGCCGATATGGTTTGGATCGGGTATTGGACTTGGAACAGGATGGTCGAATTGTCGCCACGATCTAGCACAACCTTACTTACTACATGGGAAGAAAGTGCCTGTTGAAGAAAACACTAAAGTAGTTGTTTAGTGTCATCACCATAGTTGACATTTTGCGTGTGTGTATTTTAGGGCACGACGTACAACATCGTATTAGAGAAGTGACCAGTTAACTCATATAGGTAGTAGAAGGGATCGCACTAATTGATGAGTCTTGCTATATGTTACTTGACGATGAATTTTTTTATCTACTTGTCTCGTATCAACCTTAGCATTCCTAGAAATTCGCACCAGCTCAATAAACGACAGATTTTCTATATTATTCTTTCCGAGGTCAGTTATTGTTGCAAGTTCCTACCTTTGTTTTACATCTCGATAGTCAGAAGTTATTACGTAGAGATGAGAGCTGTAAGTACTGCATGTTGAATTTTTTGGTAAGCAAGTTTGATACATTGGCTTTGCCTAACTTTTCCATGAGCTCAACTTTTTCGCAGGCCTGGAAGTGGAATACAGTAGAGGCGTGGAAGCAGTCACGACCTCGAAAATTTTTTCATTTATGTAGCTACTCAGACAAATGATCGGAAGTTCCGCCGGGTCACCTGCGGAACTTCCGTAAACGTGCTGCGGAAGTTCCGAAATGAGGTCCTGCGGAAGTGCCGAAGAATGCCAACCACAACAGCAAAAGAGAACACCGAAGCGAGATTTGAACTTTACTCTATTGACTGTGAGACCCACCTACTATCCTCAACGCTACGGCTGACATGTTCGATAATGCACTCTAGTTGTTGGCGAGGCAACGTCACGAGACAACACATCCAAAGTCCTGCGGAAGTTCTGGCAGGTCAAAGTGCTGCGACACCTCTGGCATTTTTCGGAATTTCCACAGGATTTTGAAGACGGTTCTGCGGAAGTTCCGGTGTTCAACCAGTTTGCATGGAAATCCCGCGGAAGTTCCGATTTTCAACGTTTTCACTTTTGCAATAGTGAACAAAATCCTGCGGAACTTCTGCAAATTTGGCTTGTCCTGCGGAAGTTCCGGTGATTTGTCTGAGTAAGCAACTGCGCATCTCCTAACTTCCACCATATGCTGAATCGGTCCAAGTTTTAGCTGCGTAGCAGAACGCCGGGAAAACGGTTGAGTTGAATAGGTGGGCTGAATTCGGGTCCCTCTATTGGCCGAGTGTTTTCGTTTAGGGGTAGGCGGACCAGGCTGCTTTTCTTCTCTTGTTCAGTTCTACCTGCAAGTCGTTCCCCATGTTCATGGAACATTCAAGATCAACAAGAAGACGTCGACCCATGGTTTATGCCATGGACAAGATCGCTATTTTTCTAAATTTTTATGCTGTATTTCCGAAGAAATCTCGTTATGGATAAAATAGAGCAGACCCTCTAGGATACAAAACCATTTTCCATTTCGTAGCTTCCTTCTACAATTTTCGGAATTTTTTTTTGATGCTCTCAGATTCCATATATGGTCAACTCAATCCTCACATCAACCGGCAAGCAACTCGGGTGTTTTTCGATACAACATATTCTCCTCTATCAAGTGGACGTTTTTTGTTTCTAGTTTCTACAGTTTGGAGAATAAAGTTAACAAATTCTTGTTTTTAGCACCCTAAGCTGTACCCGGAAAATGCAAGATTCAGTTTTTTGAAGCGCTAAACGCTCATTTGTTCCATAAAATTAGTGCCAGTTTATAATCTATTTTTGAAAGTAACAAAAAAGTGGGAATTTATTGTGTTCAATGAGTTTGCGTCTGGTGTAGGTCTGCTGAAATGCAATAGTGTTGTTAAAAATTCTGTTAAAAAATTATGACGAGATATAAGGGAGAGGATGGATTGTTTTGCATCCTATAGTGCTCTATCTATCTTTTACTTGGGCGTATTCGGGGTATCAGTATAAAAATTATAAAAAATAGGGCTGACTTTGGTAAAACTTTGGGTCGGAGTTTTTGGTAATTTTCTGACAAGGGAAGGATACTTAGTCGATGTGGCCTTTCCATATGAAATGGATGCTGTCTCATTAAGCATTGAACGCTGATTCCAAATTTGCTTTTGGTACCTGCAAAACTCTTCTGGAAGCAGGGGTATGGTAATCTTGAAGTATAAATTCAAGGGCTTGGCTAAGCTAAAAACAGAAGTTGAGGCTTTGAGGATTGGCATGAGTTTAATAGACTGAAAATATTAATTGCATAAAGCGCCGTGGCAGTTATAATGGCCCCATTTAAACCTACAGGCCACAGTTCTGAATGATTGTTGTAGCCGAAACTTTAGATTTTTCCTTCAAAAAATCCCTATAACTGTTTTCTCAGAAGCGCTTTGCAGATATCGAAAGCAGATTCGAACTCAGCGTTTCATGCTCTATAAGATGGTATATATCTCATTTGTGGACGCCACTTCGACCAATTATCCTTTCCTTGTGAGGGCTTTTCGTTTGAACTGCAGTATATAGACGATCATTTGAAAGAGCATGAAAAACTGCATCAAACATTACCACGATGTTCAACGAACGTCTGTTACGCGGAATTTGGCGTTTGTTTGAAAAAAAAAACGGAATTACTTTCGGGACGACCTAATATAGGGACTTGCAGGATCGCGAGAGTCGGACGTGCGTACAGCCATTGCGCCGCGCACGTCTGATGTCGCTAAGGCAGGTGCCAGACTTATCCGCTTCAACCGGCTCGTTCGGTTCATAGGTCAAATCACTACACTGTCCAACAGAAAAGATGGTGAACTCAATGAACCTGTTGAACAGGATAAGTCTGGCACTACCTGAGTAGTCGGATGCGCATCTGACGTGCTTGGAGCAAAGTCCGTATGCACGCCCTACTCTCGCGATCCTGCAGGCTCCTATACTAGGTTGCTAAGTTTTGCAACTTTTTCCATGACTTCTCTTTCTTTGCATGTGTACACTCGAACCTTGGCACTGTTGGGACTATAGTTGGAACCGAATATTCGTATTCGAATAATTTATTCGAAATATTCGACTATCCGAATATTCGAATAGTCGAATATTCGAGAAAGTCCATTTATTCGATTGTTCGAATAGTCGAATAATTTATTAGGTTGGTCCGAAAGTTCGTTCGCACCATTTTCAAAAAATCATAACTTCTTTTCCTCCCAACGATTTTGCGCAATTCAAATTTCATCAGAAAGCGTGAAGCATGTAGTTTGCAACCGTTCCTCGGAGACTTTCCAGCATGTTCAGACTGCAGAGATAAAAATGAAAGAACGAAAACATCCGAAATTCGGAATTTTTGAGAAACAATTCCAAAAATCTAGAAACTGCGCGATAAAACCCAGAAAAGCCATTAACCTAATTTTTCTTATATTTGATTACTAACTTAGTTAAGTTTGTGCTGATCGAGCTCTTCTTTCAAAAGTTATGATTTTTTGAAAAAAATTCCGAAAAATTACTTTCCTAAGAATTCCTAAAAAATTGATTTTTCGGCATTTTTTTTCAAAAAATCATAACTTTTGAAAGAAGAGCTCGATCAGCACAAACTTAACTCAGTTAGTAATCAAATATAAGAAAAATTAGGATAATGGCTTTTCTGGATATTATCGCGCATTTTCTAGATTTCTGCAATTGTTTCTCAAAAATTCCGAATTTCGGATGTTTTCGCTCTTTCATTTTAATCTCTGCAATCTGAACATGCTGGAAAGTCACCAGGGGACTATTGGAAACTACATGCTTTACGCTTTCTAATAAAATTCGAATTGCGCAAAATCATTGTGAGGGAAGGAAGTTATGATTTTTTGAAAATGGTGCGAACGAATTTTCGGACCAACCTAATATAAAGGTCTTTATTCGAATAATTCGTTCATTCGATGATTTCGAAAAATGACTTATTCGAATATTCGTTCATTCGAGGAGTTTTAAAAAACGGTTATTCGAATATTCGTTCATTCGAGTAGTTTGAAAAGATAGTTATTCGAATGTTCGAATATTCGAAAATTGCGTTTAAGTATTCGAATAATATTCGAACATTTATTCGAAATTAGTCGAATATTCGATCAATATTCGAATTGTGAAATGTGCCAATATTCGAATATTCGAATTCGAATAAAATGAAAATCGAAAGTCGAATAATATTCGTTCATTCGAAAAACTTTCGAAAATCAAATATTCGATATTCATTCGTTCGAAAAAATTTCGAAAATCAATTATTCGATATTCATTCGTTCAAAAATTTTTCAAAAATTGATTATTCGATATTCGTTCATTCGGCGAAAATTTCTGTTCGTTACAACTATAGTTGGGACTATGATGTGAGCACACAGCAATGTTTCAAATTCTTTTAAAGCCTGTAAGGTCACATAAGATCCGTAAAAGGAAAAAATTTACGAATCGCTCCAGATCGTTACAGTTCCAGCTTAACATTGGTCTAGGGGATTTCTTGACACTCTAATTACGAACATACTCATTTTGCACGACAATGTCCTTGTGGTGAGGTTAGAATAAAATTCCAATCTGATGACAAGTGATGATAATTATGTTTATTTATTTATTTACTTCATGCGCACATAGGCGAGCTCTCAGAAATCTAACAAAGAACTGCATGATACGAGGTAGAATAGAGCATAAAGATAGTGAATTGAAAGCAAAGTAAATAATAAAAAACAACAAACAAAGCAGTTCGTCGGTACGGCTGCCATATAGGGTAAACGAATAAATCGCACTAGTGGCCAAAATGACACATCCACAAGTAGAATTTCCATAGAAAATGAATCATGGCACAACCTACACTAATTTGCCGCCAGACGTGCAGTAGACAAGCGGCACAGACGGGGCGGAGACCAGGCAAACAAATACACCGGCAGCCCCGCCGGCTTACCCAAACGGGCGCACTGGTAGGGGCCACCAGTGTACTCGCTCACCGAACCTCCACCCAGCCCCCAACAGCTAGCCCCGCCACCTCCATCGGCAAAAAAAGGCAGAGTTGCTTACAATTACAATCTCTAAACAAAATGGGTGGTGTGGAAACCCGGAAGTTTGGAAGTCTCATTCGGACGTGTCATTCAAGCTTGCTAGTTGACCAAAATGGACAAAACGGTAACAGAGCGCTAGTCGAAAAGAGGATGTCACGTAGGCCCTACCATTCACTTATGATGTAGAAGAAAAGTAAAAGGGAAAGTGGGACTCTGATAGTTTGACATGACCATCGCTAAAGATATAACAGAAAAAGTTGTCTTAACAAAATCAAAGTGCGGGAAGGATAGAGGAGAGGTTCAGGAAAGAAGGGACGCAAAAAGGTATTCGGTGACGAAGTACGGCGCTATCATCTGGCGTCCGCTATCTGCAGTAATTGAAGTATATTG